TTTAATATTTAATATTTAATACTTAATATTTAATATCAAAATCGATTGAAACCGATTCCTGGCAACGAATTTGTGCTCGAACCACGACAGTTCAACGCAAGCAGTATCACGCCCCGATATTAACTGCCGTTAATTACACTATCGCAACGAATCCGCAAACGAGAGGGAAAAGAAGATTTGCCGGCCGCGACAAATCGGGACAGAAATATTTCTAACGAAGCTAATAATTCCTGTCCGGCCTGAAGACCGGAGCAATTAAGGGCGGAGACATGATCCGGCTTTCTACTTCGCGAAACTAATCAACGAACTTGGTCAAGTTACTTTGATATCTCGAGTGTCCGACTTCCGGCGGCCTTTCCGTCGTATCCTGCAAACGACTGACTTTTAATATAGATCTCTTAGCCGCAACGAGTTAGGACGAAACTTTTTCCATTGTCCCCGTATAGATTACCAATCGCGGTTGATTTCTGTTCCCGGGTATAATCAAAGGCACCGGATGCGTTTTACGACTCTTTTTGTTCCCTGTCGTCCGTCGTCCGTCGTCCGTCCTCCGTCCTCCGTTCCACCCCTTCGCCCACCTCGGCGACCCTTGCACCACCCACGCCGAACCGCACACGACGATGCGCCCGTAATTTAGCCGTGACCGTTGGCATCGACTGTTTTATCATTTATTTACGTATCGCAGCATCGATAATATCGCGCCGTTATCGACAACCGGGGCACGGGGCGAAACGCCGGGCATCGGATTAAGCGACACAATTACCGAACTTATTCATGGAAGGACAATGATTTAATAGCCAGCGAACGATCAGACCGCGCGCTCCGCCGCCGTAATTACTGCTAACGAATTAATCGGTTATATATCGTTGCCGCGCTCGGTTTGTTAATAAATAAATTCCGGATAGGAGACGCCGCGGTTCCGGTTTACCGCCGGGGCTGGGACTCTCGGCGATGCGCGACCCGGGGGGTCAGGGGCGAGGGGGTGATTTAAGGCCGATTAATTGATACGCGGCTCGACCGCGACACCGCTGTCGGAGCGGTGCCCGATCGCGAAGTTCGCGCGCGGCGCTTTCGGCGCCGAGCTTTTTTTTCGAAAACAAAATCGTCCGGAAGGAACACCGGAACGAGTCAAAGAGAGCATCCGGGCATCCTCTTTCGGTTTCACACATCCAATAATTCGCGTGCAATTTGCAGCAGTGATAATCGGCGCGAGCTCGTGACGGTACGCAACGCGTTCACCCACACGCGCGCACGCAGGCACACGGCCATTCGCACGTACCACAGACACACGCAGAAATAGAGAACAGAATTTTGCGCGTGCATTCACACCCGCGCACAGGTGGTTGGTCAGCTTTTTTCTGTACGTGTCACCGTACACTGGTGTGTTCCGGGGGTGGTTCGCCCCCTTTGTCGCTTACAACGAACCGTTCAGTTCTCTATATGCTGGTTTACACACTAGGCAGCCTAAACGCAGCGGCTCGTCTAATCGAGCCGTGTGTCGTCGACTCGTTTCGTGCTCAAGTCGACGCCAGGTAAATTGCGTACACAGCGAGCGTCTCGATCGAGATCGTTGTCCCGGCTGTCGCGGACGCTTCTCGTCAAGGTGCTCTTTGTTGGTCGCACACTATGCTCCGTTCGCCGAACTGCATCCGCGTTTCGATCGATCTTTTTCTTTTTTCCGCCTAATTGCGGACGGTCATTACGGTCCGGCTCGGCGATTCTAGCAGAGAGATCGAATCCAACGTCCTCCCTTTTTCCGGAGATTTTCAAGCTACGGCGCGGATCGTGCAGTTTTGCCCAGGGACGATTGCCCAGTTCGACTTCCAAATATCATAGTTTACACCGGGAATATTTATGCGAATTTCCATTCTTCCGAACGATTTTGTACAGTTTTAAACCCTTGGTCGCTTTCGCATGGAACCAGACAATTTTTGTTTCTCGCATGTCTTCGTTTACTTTCATCTCTAGATTTTGATAAGAGAAGATTCAAATTGTATTTCGATTTATATGTAAATAACGTTCGTCATTCGCGAGTCTTACTCGTTGCTATCGAGCAATGGGTCAACGAAGTAAACGTATATGTTGCTCTTTTTAAAACTAGAAGTTAAAATGTATCTGACTTTTTACTTTTGCAAATTACATTTTGAAGTTGTACATGTTACTACGATGATTTAAGTAAATCTAACCTTATCATTGTTATAAATAGACAGCAGATCGTTGCTTAAAATAAATATGTAAACTTGAATAGCGTGTTTGAAAATATACGTTCTTACATGTTCTTCTTACATTCGTCGGATTCGTCGCTGTTCCGTGTTTCACTTATCGCTGTTCTCGTAAATGCATTAAACATCTGCGGTCTACTTATATATAGCAACATACATTAATCGCGTTCAAGGCTCGGTAGTTCCAGCCATCGAATACACAACTCGTAATTTGGTCGGGAAAAACCAACGAACGTTACTTGTAACGTATCTGGAGCACCAAGTTTTTGACACCCTGCCAGACGAGCCGTAGTCGCAGAGTTTCATTTCGAGATCGAGCGATTCTCCGGGGAAAGAGTTCTCACCTTTCTAGCTCGCTATCGTAACAGGTGTTCAGAGTCAAAGTAAACGAATCCAGAGAAATACAATTTCAAGCTTACGATATTCGATGTTCCCTGGGCAACACTGATCTACGCCGCCAGACGATTTAGTTAAAAACTCGATGGCAGCGTGCCAGGAGTCGCGGAAAAGTTTTGGAAGACTTCGACAACCGATTTTCCGTTCGATCGTTCGTTCACGATTCACGGCCGGGATATTTCCGTTTCGATCTCGTAGCCCGTATCGATCGAAACGCGCATCCGGTTCCGCGTGTTCACGATGTTACGTATATGTAACAGTCATCGTGAATGGTTTAGAAAACCCAATAAGAGTGAGCGAGAGCTGGTGAGTGAGCGAGTGAGTGGACGGAGTGAATGAAAGTGATCCACGGCGGTACCGCAGATCGTGTGACTGACTCATGTGTTGGTGAGCGTGTAAAGTGGCGAGTGATGGACAGACAGACAGACAGATAGATTGATAGATTGATAGATAGATAGATAGATAGATAGGTAGATAAGTAGATAGATAGATAGTTTGATAGATAGATAGATAGGGGTAGATAGATAGATAGTTTGATAGATAGATAGATAGATAGATAGATAGATAGATAGATTCATAGAGATTGATAGAGATAGATTGATAGTAGATAGATTAATAGATAGATTGATAGATAGATAGATTGATAGATAGATTGATAGTTAGATTGATAGTAGATAGATTGATAGATAGATTGATAGTAGATAGATTGATAGATAGATTGATACATAGATTGATAGATAGATTGATAGATAGATAGAGAGGAGAAGACAGAAAAGATAGAGGGAAGAAAAGGTTTCGCGGAATAGGATAGGGGACTCCGGGGTGGGCAAGTCGCGTTCAATGGGGTAGGTTGTGGATGTCGGTTAACGATATTTCGTATGAGCGTGTAAAAGAAGAACATACGAGGTTTCATTGGTTTCTTTTTTTTTGTCGTATGTTCGACGCGTATGTACGCCGCAGAGGCGTCTGTTTGAGCTTATCTGAAAAAGGGTTGAAAGCGATGTAGAGTTGAGGCGCGTTTGATCAACGATTATCGAGCTTCTATGAAAGTTTAAGAGCCGCTGACAATTTCAAAGGAATTTTAAATATTCAAGGTGTGTCTGGATGTAATGAAGCAGCCGAGTATAGCATGATTTTGGATTTTCGATCGATTCTCACTTTGTGACATGGAAATTTCGATCAGAGAAAATTCTAATTCTCTGTTGATAAGCTGGATCAAACGATGGTTACATCTGTTAGACCGATATTCAAATTCAGTTTTCTCGGTAGCCCTGCAAAGGATTATCCCATACCTGGCTGGCTGTTCTGTTAGTGTAACCACACCTTCCAAATTATGCTTCCTTTTACAGTAATCTTATTAACCAGATATTTTGATAAATTAACAATTAGCTTCTATCGTACGCGCATTGTTTCGTATGTTAGCTTTACCGTATTTTCTTAACGTTGCGATTTTACTAATTCGTAGAAAAAGTTGACTTATTCTTTGAAATAGAAGTCTTAAAACATTTAAAAGTTCAATCTCTCCATTCTTTACTTGAAACATAATTTACTTCAAAGCGAGTAACTCGAGTCAGAAAACGAAAGCTATGGACTTGTGAAATAATAATTCCAAGTATTGTACAAATGGTACGGTTTATTATAATGTTGCATATAATTTTGAATAATCAGCAGCATATCGTATATGTGGTTATATCTTTAAAAAAAGTGCAAATAGCGTTTCAGTATCTGTTGAAAAATTTCCGTTTCCATCGTTCGTTAACACGTTAAGCTCGGAGTCGATTCTGCTGGGTTTTCCGTCGATGCAGCACGCCGGCATTATTTTTTAACCTTGATACCGCCGGTCCCGTGCATGCACCGATGCGGTCCAAACGATACGTTCGCTGTCGGTTCCTGGGCACCGACGTCGCCCAAAAATAGAGTCCAAGAGGACTGAAACCGTCCAAACGGAAAGTCCACTGTCAGCCCCAGGGGACCGACGCCGGCGCCTAACGTGTTCAAGAAATGTGCACAGAGTTACTTCGGTCGCCAAAGAACGTCGGTCGTAAAATCCTACGCGAATCGATCAAAATACTTGGTTAATAAACTGTAAAAAGAGAACGTCTGATCCATGTTCCGAGCCATGTCCACGAATTCGAATTCTCAGAGGAGCACACTGACGCGTATATAAACCGATCCGATAGTCGGGCGTCCCGAAGATCGACATCGTTGACGACGCGCAATGACGAACAACGAATCGTATGTTTCGATGTACATGTAAGTAGATGTGGCGTGTTTTTTTTTCGTGTGACGGTGGACAAAGGCGAGGATGTCGAACTTTCTCAAAGATTTGTCACTTTCTGTTCGTATTGTATGCATTTTATAGACGCGGACGTGCGTACTTACAGCTCTCGATCTCGATATGGCAGAGCTGTCGGTCCATCGGAAAGTATTGCAGGTTCATTGGACACGATGCTGTGATCGTTAAACTGCAACAAAACGTAGAAGCAGAGCTGTCAGTGGACCGGGCGGACGGTTACAGGAAAAGTCAATGTTTTTCCCCGTTATCCTATCGTTTCCCCGTGGAAAACATCAAACGATATTCGATCTCGTCTACCTGGAACTTTCGAGCGGATTAATTTTAAGCTTCGCCGCCGATCTATCCTGTCGGCGGCAACGATCGGCCGTGCCCGGGCAAAGAAAACTCTCTTCTTTAAGCGTGTTATTGTTCCGGGCAACGAAGGCGCCGATCGATAGGCGGTTTTAACTCGAACGAAGAGAACTTATTCATGCATACAGGTGCCTTTTCCTATCGATTTCCCTTAACGTTCCTCGTTTTCTACCCAGGCCGCGGGATCGCCCTTGAGCCACGAGATCCGGAAGGGAACGCAACGTAAAGGAAAGGAAAGGGTGAACAGGCCCGAAGTTAGGTATGCATGGATTGTCTGAATATAGTAGCAACGTTAATATCGGAACACTCGGGGATAGGTCGGACGAGGCGGACAAGGGGGATGATACGAGTGGCAGGGGAAAAGTAGGGGGATGGGAAACGGCACCGAGCGATCCCGGGAACAAATTTGTCCTGGTTGGTACAATTGCTCCCTCAAGTGTTTTCGGTTGTTCCTGGCTGGTAGAGACTATCGAACCTCGGCTGAAATCGCGCCAAAAAACGGCCGTTCCCGTCGCCCAGAGAACTGTTCATAACCGCTCGCTTTTAAAGGGAAGATCGAAAAATGTTTCGCGAATGTCTCATGAATTTCAATCGACAGCAATCATGCGAAATCATGATCTCGGATAATCTTTATTTCGTTGGTACACTTTTTAATTGATCTCACATTCGAATCCGATTTAATATCGTTGCGAAGAGAGCATTTTTTTCTCGTATTTACCTTACTCTCTTCTAAGATGATCTACGTTTTTCCAAATTATTCACATGGTTACGAAGGATATTTTAAGAATATTTGATTTCTATCTTCTTCGATAAAGATCTTTGTTTCTTTGAATTATTTAGGATATGTTTTTCTGTATTTCGAGTAGGATGCTATACTTATTTTTGTAGCTGTGAGCTGTTTGAATCATCAGTTTTGAAGACCAGTTTTTGAAGTTCTCGCTTTCATGATCAATATGAGACCAAGTCAAGATTCAAATACGATTTGATTTTATTCGATATTTTATTCAATATTTAAATTATCAACATACGACTGCGATGTTGTTGATTTCAAAGAATCGAGTCAGACGGTAATATAAATTCTATTCGTAACAAAATATCTCAAAGAAATATAGTTGAAACAGTTCAAATTCTGTTAGAAGATTCATTAATAACGTTTTAGAAATACCGATTTATTAATATGAAAACTGTCAAGCGTATCGCTTTAATAAATATAATTGAGAAATAAAATTAGAACCGCACCCACTAAAGTTTAACTTTTATTTCACATAGTATATTCACTTTCTGTAAATTGCAAAAGATCGTAGAAAATGATCATTAAATTTTAATTGGAAATTCACACGTTGAACTCGTTAAATAAGTTTAAAGAAATCTGAGCACGTGCATCGTTTAAATCTCGAATGAAATGTATCTATTATATTTCTCGTTCGAGAAAACATCATTTTTCAATTATCATTCCACGGAATCGGAATGTTTAAAAACAATTGTTCAGCTAGAACAATTGTCTAGCAAGAAAATCCCTGTGACATCTTTAAAAAAATGTAGATCGCCTGGTCCGATTATAAAATAGTTATTCCGTTTCGAACGGTGTACGAAAACATTTTGTTGGACCACTCTACAATAAAAGTTAGCTTCCGAGTCCGATGAAGGTGTGCGATCCGTATGCGAATTGGCAGTGGATGCGTTAACGAACATAATGCAAGCAACAGAATCTCGTAACAGACCGATCACGGTAAATCGTCTGTACTCACCGTATACTACGCGTGATGCTTCCCGAGTGATGAATACGAATGAACTCGTTGCTGGTGGTGGCGATGTGAAAGTACGACTGCTTCTCGTTGACGAAGAAGGTGTCGGGCACCCAGATGTTCTTGATGAACTCCGAGCCGACGCTGAGCGTCTCGACGCCCGTTCGTGGTTTGAACGCGAGCCTCGGGTCCGTCCAGAATTGCCGGAAGTAGAAATCCAGCGTGAAGTCCTGACACGAGACACGAGACGGTTTTATTAGACGGTGAATCGGCGGGTCGTGGGGAGGGGGGCGGGGATTTTTCGAAACGGGTCTACGCGCGGGAGCAACGTGGAAAAACGTGAAATCCGCTCGCAAATCGAATGTGAGAGGGGAATCCGTGCGGACGGGCTGTGTTTCGTTTCCCGATCGGCACGCGATCGTCCGCGGGTTACAACGGTTCCCCCGTGGCTCTAACGAATAATGAAACGTGACGCGCAAACTAACGTCATTACGCAACCAATGCGTTCGTTAAAAATAATAAAATTATCCGCGGCACGTGACGAAGGAAGGCGAACAGCCGACCGATACCGGATAACCGGGGGACTTTCTATCCGACGCTTTCATCCCGGTTTATACCGAATAAACAGATTCGCATCGATGAAATACCACGATTTATTTCGATACGCTGCCCACTAGAAACACACGCGGTTTATCCGATGACGAACGTTATACTGTCGGATGCTGTCTCGGATATTTGGCAAGATTTAAAACAATTGCGTGGACGGCTCCAGCGAACGTGCCCCGTTTTATTGGATTCGGAAAAAGAAAAAAAGAAACACTGGTTACGGACTTTCAATGGTATTTGGAGGACGTTTCGAATAAAAGTTTAGCGCTTGATAAAAAGGCTTTGCACGAACAACTGTTGAGGTTCGTCGGTTTTTCAGTTTATAAGCTAAATCACGGTTTTCCACTTACTAGAACTATGAAATCTGTCGGAGCTCTATTAAATACTATTTTCTGTTGCCAGCTATGATCGATGATCCAATGCAATCTATATTGTATTCGTCCGTCAATCACCTAACACTTTACGCATGCACGTTGTGATATATCAAATGATACTTACATAGTATTAATGTTAACTATACCGTGTACGTATTTATTAAAATTCTCATGCAGTTCGTGTTGCTTTCATTGTTTCAGCTTGCGACGCTGCTATTCTAAAACACTGATCAACATACTATGCTGTAGGGTGTATCACATGTTTCCCTACAAATTCTGTCATTTTGTTTCGCCAGCAGCGAAACCAAAGTGTCGCGTATCGAAAAGTTCGCAAGGACTTTCGTCAAAGACAGAACGTAATGTAACGTCGCTATTATCGTTAGTATGTTTGTCGTTATACGATTGTTTAGTGTTCATCGATTCCAGTCTACGGAATATTGAATTTCGCTATAGTTCTCTTCCGCATTCCATGTAGATATTTTCACACCGCCAATCATTTTTCTTTCTTAAATTTTCTCAACCCTTTGCGCTCGAGTGACGACTTTGAAGCACCACTAAGAGATCGTTACATCACGTTCCAAGATAATATTTATATTATCAAAGCTTCGATATAAAAATATTGTTAAAAGTTTAACTGTTGCACGAGTCACAAGACTCGATTTCATGCGCATGAGGTGCACTTTGTCGTAGAAAATGGAAATACTATAAGTCGGAGAAGTTCATTTAGATTTACAGTTTAGTTAGACTTTGTTACAGCTTAGTTAGACTCAAAGTTACAGCTTTGAGTGCAAAGGGTTAAATTGTACTGTCACATTGTGCTTCCAAAACAAAACCCGCAACACAATTACATCTTCTAATAAAGTATTTTCTAAATCTTCCTCTACACAGTATACCTTAGTATCCCGAGCACAATGTAATCGCGACGTTTACGCTAAACGATATTTCTTAATCACGTCTATCGATTCTATTCGGAACGTCCTCAAAAGCCTCGTCAAGGTACAATATTTCTCCGCGTTTGCTACAGCGGATCGTCCTCGGTGCTTGGACCAACTTGTCTCTAAATCCCGAAATTGTACGATTGAACGTTCGTATCAGCGTTCGCCGGTTAATTATTATCAACGAACGTGTCACGTTGTTCCTCGTTCCTCCGGCGCGTTTGTTTGTCTCTTCCGGGTAGAGGACGTTCACCGATACGCAGGAAACGATCTTTCCATGGGATTGGAAAGAATCGCGAGAGATCGTTGCACGCGAGATTAAAACGGTCGAGGAAACGGCGATACGTAACTGGAGGTGGGTTCCGGGGGTGGGGGTTGGGGGTTGCGAAGTATAGAGCGACGCGATCGGATAAGAGGGGTCGAGCGATCGGTAATAGGTGGAGAAACGCAGTTACTGAGATCGTGGACGTCGACCGGTACCTTGAAACCCTTGTCGACCGATACTGTCGGCATCTCCTCGGCCATGCAACGTGTCGTGGTTATCGTGCTGCGCGAAATCGGCTACTTGAACACTCACCTAACCCTATCGAGACCCCCTTCAATGTTCCAAACGACCCGGCGTTGCGAGCCGGCCCGGGACTAATTCGTTACCGACTACAGCTCTCCCTCAACGAACCGTTCCAAGACCTCCGGCCTGTCAGCAAACTTCTACTCGCGACGCCATTGTTTATTCGAGCAACTCGCCGGAATTTGGAAACTTCGCCGTGTCGAGAGGCGGACGTCGCTGCAGAAAATCGTGGTCACGGTTACGCCCGGCTTTAATCGGATCGATCCTGTTTTATGGAATTGTTTGTATCTTCATCGCGTCTCGTTGAACGTTTATTAGAAGGGGCTGAAACGAGGCGGTTGTTGACTCGCGTCACGTGGCTTGTACAGGCTGTCCGATAGCTGGTACGGTATAAGGCTGATTCTATCCGAAAGAATCAGTCGAGAAGAAGGAATAGAATTTTTCATTTATGATCTTGCTTTTGAGAACATTGCGTATCTTTTACGCGTGTGCTGTCTTTATTAGTAACCCTTTTGCTCCGATGGGCGTATATATACGCCCTCGAAAAATGTTCGTTTTTCTGTTCAAATGGACTGTAGTTTGATTTATTATTTAAACTAAAACGTAATTTGACAATTTAGGGGGGTGATGGACCGTTTCGTTATATGAAATGCAGATAATTTGGATGTATCATTCACAGAAAATTAATAATTACTTCTTTCGACTACTTAATGCGCATCGGTGATCATTTATTTACAAAGAAGAAGACGAAATCCAGTTTTGTTCACATGAAACACAAAGAGCATATAATATTTAACGAAATACTTTTAATAGACCGTGCGATGCAGTCAATGTTTCGCAATTTTCGACTGAGAGGATAAACAAAGCACCAGATTAATGAGTACGCGTTTAGTATTTTTTACTCGTAATCCGAAATTGATTTCGATAGAAAAGCGATTCGTGCGTTATTGTACGAATTGTGTTTACGGTTTTAGTATAGACGCGCCGAGTGTATGTCGCGGGGGTGGCTTGGAAATCGTGTAAAATTCAATGACTTCCATCGATAATAAATGATACCGCCGCAGGTTATTTGTGTTCAGGTGAATGGAAGATCGTGAAACGCTCAATCAAAAATTTTACGCATCGCGAGGCAATCAGAGCGGAATTGAATGAACGCGATTTTGCGTGAAGCGGCTCGAGACAGAGAGAGCGAGAGAGAGAGAGAGGGAGAGAGAGAGAGAGAGAGCGAAGGGCGAGGATGAACGGAAAATGGATTTAATATTCAAAGTCCTCGTCGCTTTTAATAGTTGATCGCCGAGCAGAAATACTGTAATTTAAGCGTCTTGAAATAGATTCGCGCCCGGCGAAGAAGTATAACGCGTTTTCAAATATTCAAGGATCTTCGCTTAAACTTTGATTACATCGTTCGACTTTATCGGGCTGAGAAGTGATTTCATTTCAACGCCGGGATCGTCGGCGAATTCATCAAACGTTGTAGCGTGCTGTTCGCCGTAAAATTTGCACTCGCCGGGCGAGTAATTCGTCTGATAAAGAAAGTTTAAGTAGCCGAGCGGGGGAGTTCGAGTGCAATCAACCGAACCCGATGGCTAGATTTATTATTCGAGGTCAAAGATTCTTGATTATTCTATCATTAGGGGTGAGGCAGAGGACGGCAGTAATTACGCGTGGGCGCATTTAATCGCGTTTCAAGTTTTATGAACCAACGGCGATGCTATTAAAAGTTCACTTATCAAACTCGAATGATATACACGTCGATCGTATTCGCGTAAATTCTCTGCGTTTTGTTTTTTTCTATTTCACGAAGAGAGAACCGTTCGTCCGATGGATCCGTTTCCATTTCTCGTTGCATTTAGTTACGCGATTTTGTCTTTGGACGATCCTACAGTAACGCACGATTCGCTTCTTTGTTAGTTGAATTAATTTGCACACTTTGCCTTTTCTTTTGTCTTCGGTTCACGTTCGAACTTAGGATTCCCAATAATCTTAAAATAGCGTTTTGATTTTATAAAACCGATTTAACCGATTCATTTCTTAGACTGCGGATCTTTGTGCGAAATGAAAATTATCTAAATTAATTGTAAGAAATATAAATTTAAATGAAAATATCATTTCCCAATTAAGAAGAATTGTAATAAATTGAAGATATTTTTGAACTCTTCGAATGTCTTTTTAACTTTGTATTTGATCTCATAAATGCATCGAATTGGCAGCCTATTCATTATTCTTCTCGGTTTGGTAAAAGACACTTTTGGCTCATCAATATTTTCGGTGTCTTTCATAATTTGATTCGATTCACCGTATTGCTTAGAATACCAAGAAATTGCGAATCTCTGGAGGTTAAAATTATATGAAACGTCAGACATTATTAACCTCGCCAATAATTTTACCATCTTCGTTGTCACTCTCGAGTTCAATTTCTGAATATTTTAAAATTAATGTGCACTCAACTGGTTAAATTCTACTCGTCAGTCACTGCTATATTGACATTCCCTTTTGAATTCTGTTTTTAGCTGGCCACAAGTCATTTTATCGATCTCTCTCTCAGTCTCCGTTTAGAACATATTGGAATTTTATACCTCCAACGAACATCGCGCACTATAATATATCAAATTTCGTCCACAGATTGAAGTTTTAACAATTCTATCTTATTTTTCATATACGCATGATTCCTTGCAGTTTTAATCGAAGCAAAATCTTTAATTAGAACTATGAACACGTATACTTTGATTTCATGCCAGGTATAAAGT